CCTCGCAGGCTTGCGATCGCGCGCGGGCGCGCCTTCGATTCGGGGCCCCAGTCTCGCGGCAAAGACTGCTTTGCGTCCAGGCGCGTTGGCGAGAGATGGTCTGGCTTTGAACTTGCAACGTGTCCCCCGTGCACTATACAATAGAGCCTTGGCCAAACTGCAACCAGATGGGCGAACCATTGTGCGCGCGTCGTCGCCGACCTCCTGGGCGGACCTGGGGGCTCATGTGATCGCCAATTTCAACTTCCAATCGCCATGCGAACGGGCATTCCAGCCGCGCCGCGGCGCCGCAAACCGCTGCGATGCTCGACGCAAAGCGTCTGCAAGTGGCCGCGTGCCGGACGCGCGCGCGCTGCAGCGCCGGCGGGAGGGGGGGGCTCGGGGGGAACGCCGCGGTCAAATGTTCGCACTCCGTGCGCGCGCGAACCCATCGAGACGCGAAGGGGGGGGGCTTCAGCGCGGAAGAAGATAGACGACGCAGTGGGCTGCAGAGCCTCCGCCTTTCACCAAGTGCCCTCGCAGGCTGCGTGCTTATAGGCGTGGCGCGCAGTGCTGCGTGCGATCAGGCGAGCGAGGGGGGGGGGGGGGGGGCGAGCCCGCGCGGCATGCGCGGAAGGAGTTGGAGCGCGAACGGCAACGCAGAGGAGGGGGGGAGAGAGATAGAGAGAGAGAGAGAGAGAGGAGAGAGAGAGACAGAGACAGAGAGAGAGAGACAGAGAGAGAGAGGGAGAGAGAGAGAGAGAGAGAGAAGAGAGAGAGAGAGAGAGAGAGAGAGAGAGAGAGAAGAGAGAGAGAGAGAGAGAGAGAGAGAGAGAGAGAGAGATGGAGAACAACAAAAAAACAAGACAGAAAGAGAGAGAGAGAGAGAGAGGAGAGAGAGAGAGAGAAAAAAAAACAAGATAACAAAACAACAGAGAGAGAGAGAGAGACAGAGGAAGAGAGCGAGAGAGAGAGAGAGAGAGAGACGCAGATATATATATATATATAGAGAGAGAGGGGAGAGAGAGAGAGAGAGAGAGAGAGAGAGAGAGAGAGAGAGAAAGAGAGAGAGAGAGAGAGACAGAGTGTGAGAGAGAGAGAGAGAAAAAACAATTTCATAAACTATATCTATAGAGAGAACGGGAGGGCGAGGTTCAGAGGGGCGGGGGCATGGGGGCCAGACCCGACAGGAAGGGTGGGCAGACGTGGCGAGAAGAGAACGGGGTCGAGGGGGGAGATGATGATTGCGGTTGGATGGGTTTCAAAGGCAGACGGATTGTTGCCGAGGGATGCGACGATTCGCATCCAGGTTCGTCTATCCTTGCCCAAGGCTTCATCCGCGCCTCTCCCACCGGCGGGCCTGCGACGGACAGGACTAGTTGACGTGCCCGTCGAACACAATTGGGCGTTGTATCGAACGTGAAGCGCGCAGAAAAACGCTGCGCATGTATGCATCGTGCAGCTGCGCTGTTAACCCGCGCCATTCGCACGTCGTGGGAGAAACCATGCAACGCGCCACCACATGTCGCGCGAATGGTGGCCGCGCTGCAAGCGCTGGCATTCATCATTGCTCGTCAGCGCCCGGGGTGCATGTCTACTTCTTGGCCCTAGCCATGGTCTTGGGCTTCACATCCCCCTTCCGAAAGCATGGCCATCTTTGCAGACTGCAACGGCGCATGGTAAATCCGGGCCTCGTAAACAAGCAGTTTGTCGAATTGCTGCAAGGTCCTGGCATTCTCGTCTCGTAAGCTTTGAGTATGATGTGGGCGGTGTTCTTCTGAGCGAAGATAACGCTGGCTAGGTCCTCCTTGTCCGCCCCCCAACCCGCGAATATGGCATGTAGAACATCTGAAGCATCAGCATTGCTCTGGCCCGTCGCCCTCGTTGGCGGCGAGCTCAACGGCGCGAGGGCGAGCTTGCCTTCCCCAATCTGCTGGGCGGCAACGACGACGCTGGGGGTAAGGCCACATTGCAACGGCGCGTCATCACTGGAAGTCGACTCGAAATCCGCGAGGGCTTTGAGCACGGTGCAACGCAATTCACCCGCTTCCATCAGAGGATGCGCCGAAGCGCGCGCCTCTGCAGACACCGGCGCTGCAAAGGGCACGTTGGCCGTGCACGACGCCCGCTCCTTCGAGAAGGGCGCGAGAGATACCTTCGCGTCAAACGCCTGTTCAGAAAAGGCGGCCAGCTGCCCCGTGGCGGCCTCGACGGCGGCGCGCTCGTGTGCGACCCCGCCCCGTTCGAAACCATTGCCCGCTAGGGCGCGCGCAGGGCCGCGCAAGTCCTGCTCGGTCATCGCGACCGCCCTGTCGCCATCTGCTGCAGAATGGCCATAATTGGCGTCAGAAGCCGCATCGGGTTTCCCTTCGCCGTCTGGGTCCACGACAACGCCGCCGCCAGACGTGCTGGTTGCGTCATATGCGAAGTCTGCGATGATCGGCGCCTGGCCCCCACGCGCGACGCCCTCTGGCCCGGGCCTGCGTTTCCCCGCCAGGCGCAGCGCTGAGCGAGTGAAGAACTTCCCCACCAGCGCGCCATGCTGCTCCAAATCAACGCGGCCGCTTGCGGCCAGGGGGCCTGCGAGACAGTAGAATTTGGAGAGGCCCCCGTCGACGGCAAGTGCCTTGTCCTCGGCAGCTTTGCTCTTCGACCTCTCAATGTCGCTGGGAACCAATGGCTTCACCGCGCCGTCAGACAGCTTATCGGAAGCCAGGGTGGCAAGGGCGCCCGCGACGCGCATGCAGACGCGCGGCTCGAGGTCACCTACATGGACGTCGACAATTGGCGTGGCGAAATCCTGCCCGAGCTTCGCGCTGGCGCCATGCACCTTGCCAACACGGCCCATGCACTCAAACAGAGGGGCGCCTGATCCCCGGCCGCAGTGCGTTGCGAGCTTTCCGATCTCCTCAGTGTATTCCTCTCGCGGCAAATGCGCCTTCCGCAAATCATGCGCGGCGCGGGCGCGCGCGGCCGCGGCGCAGGCCGCGCGGCAGATGCATGTCGGAAGAAGAAATCCAGAGAAGGTCAGAGCGCCTTTTTCCGCGCGCCTCGGCCGCACTTGCCTGCGCCGCGCGCAGTTGCGGGGGGTGCATTTCTGCCGCCTGCTTGGCATGGGGGCGGGTTAATTTCCATTGTCTCAACGCAGGCGTCAAAAGAAGACCCTGCAGGCATCAGTCCTGCAAATTCTGCCATGCGCGCGACGTCGAATTGGCAGCATTGTCGCCAACGTTGAGGGCGCGCCGTGCCAACTCTGGACGGCGCGGCCACGTGACTTCTGCCTGCCGCAGCAAGACGGCCCAACGCCAGCCCTTAGTGATAGCGGCGCGGAACCGGGACAACGTCTCTGCGTTCGTCTCCCAGCCCGTCGTCGGGCCGGCGAGGGTCGGCTCAGGCGCGGAGCAGCCCGCCATCGTTGCACGGACGAACTGCGCGGCGTGGCCCGCCCCCGCAGCAGAACCTCTCCGCGCCCGGCATCGGCGCCGGCATGCCCTTGCTGGACGAAATCAGCTTTTGATTGCATACAACCTGGGGCGACTTCATCGGATCCGTGGGCGCGCGCTCGAAGGCAACCGCCGTCTCGAGCTCTGCAGGGTCAACGCCGATATGCTTGAGCATCGCGCCAGCCCTGTGGACGTTGCATGTGTTCACACCAGGGGTGGATGATGAATTCATTCGCTTGGGCGACGATCTGCTTGGCGACCTTATCATTCAAAAGGCAAGTGACGAAATCCTTCCAAGCTGTGGTCGGAGCAAGCTTGCCGTTGCGATGCATACCGATGCGCCCGTTGATGACATCCACCAGCTCTTGCGGATAGAAATGCTGCATGGCGCGCACAGGAAATGTTGCAAGTGCAAACGAACAAACAGCTCGAGCATGACACGCCTACATCAAGAGATCAGCGTTCTGTTTGAAACATCATGCGGTATGACGTGTAATCATCGTGGACCGCGTTGCACCGAATGCATACATGATGCATGCCAACTGGATTGTGACAGGTTCTTGGGATTGTATTTTCTGCATACGATGGCCAAATCCGATCGCGGGGTCGCCCGTCGGGCGTTCCATTTCCACGTGGCACGTAATCAAGCGACGGATGCGTGAGTACGCAATTGAAACATGCATTTCGGAAATGCCAAGTGATCAGCGTGAGGAAATCAGAATCATGCAATGCGGGCCGCATTCGCATACGAAAATATCATGTAGCATTCTGACGTTGGCATGCAAGAAATCAGATTTCAACCATCAGCAAACATCGCTGCATGATGTTGAATCTCGGGTTCAGTCAAGACTGGCGGGCGCCAAGTCATGCACATGCTATGCGACATGTCAGGGTAGTTATGTTAGATATCACAAATTACAAACGCTTAAGCGACTTGCAAACGTGTTGCACATACTTTGCACTTACCTTACAACTACTTTACAAGTACCTTCCAACCCAACCCAAACCCCAAGTTCAATACAGTGGCGCACATAGAGACCGCCCTGAGGGACCACCCCTTGCGCACCCCCTCCGCTGACGAGGAAGTGCCACGCGTGTTAGGCCCTGCGACATTGGAGCGTATAGAGACCGCGCTGAGGGACCACCCCCTGCGCACCCCCTCTAGTGGCGAGATAGTGCCACGCTGTGCAGTGCTGTGCTGCGCTGTGCTGAGTTGGCTGTGCTGAGGTGCTGTGCTGTGCTGTGCATTGCTGTGTTGAGCTGCGCTGTGTGAGAAGGGAAACGAGGAGGAGGAGGGGAGGTGTGCGGGAGACGCGGGTGCGACGCGGCAGGGATGAAGACCATGACCCCACGAAACATATGGAGAAACAAGGGGGCACGCCGCCCAAACATGCTTGGAACAGCATGCTATTTGTTCGCACGCGCGAATTGCCGCGCCGTCTCTGTGGCTACCGATGTTTTTCTACATGTGCAAGATATTCAGACTTGCCTCCATGAATTGATCGAACACTAGATTGGGATCAGGGGTTCAAATCGTTGGTTTGGCGTTGTGTGCATGAGTTGTTCACGCGTGAGGTCTGTCAGCCAATGCAACACAGCTTTACCGTTGGTGTAGATGCAGGTTGACGACATAGGCGGGGCAAGTCTTGGACGATCTACTGCAGTGTTTTTTTGCCCAAACGGTTGAGGCACGATGGCGAGGCCCTGTCATGACGCACCCAATCCAAACTGCGCCGCGGCAGGTCATGGACAGGCCTTGGCAAGCTGGTGGAGACGAGCCGGTGCTGGCAAACGTTCAAGATTCTGGATGTGGTCAGGGATGCGCAGATCTGTTCGATGATCTTGCGGAGGGCGCGATGAGGCAGAGGCAGATCTCCCAGAGCCTGCAAAGCATTGCCTCGGGTTACGTCCGGAATACTGCGAGTCTCTTTGCTTCTAACGGTCTAGACGCCGACCACTGGCAAAGAGAGACCTCACAGACTTTGGAGGAGATTCACAATTCGGGAACTGTCCGAGCCCGAGCTCGCCAATTTGAGGTGCCCGTTTCTCCGAAGGCGCCCCGCTCGCAGATTGCGGGGAGGATACGAGCTCGAAGATTTGTAACGGCGGCCACTGACGTTGTGAAGACGCTGCAGTGCATCACGGAGGACCGGCTCGACCAAGTCAAGACTCCCATGATGGAGTTGCAGGTCGGTGAGGGTGGTGTGGCGGTAGGGCATCTCTGCTCTGATGCCATGTTCTCGTTGCCTACGATGGGGGCTCTCTCAGAAGACTGCGATGAGAGGTCCCCAGTTCCAGAGTCGCCCGTCTTACCACCGACCACGGGGATCATGCGAACTCGAGGGTCTGCGACGGTGGCGGCTGATGATGCTGAGAAGCTGCAGTGCATCTCGGAGGAAGGACTCGGCCACGTTCAGGCTCCCGTGCTGGATCTGCCAGCTGTTGAGAGTGATGTGGCGGCGGAGGAGCTCAAAGGCACCAACGAGATGCCCGTGGGATGCTCGACAATGATCCGAAGCGTGACAGAGCACTGTGATTCCCACCTCGAGTCCAACGAGAAGCCAGCCCGAAGCTGCTCGGCTCCCGCCCTGACGCACTTCTACTGCCTATACCTCGACGACGTTGAGGGACACACCAGCGCAGTGAGGCTGTCATCGGAGTCCTCCTCGTCGTCGGACTGCGACCTGGCGGTCGATGCCGCTGAGGCTTCGATCTGGGGAGATGTATTTGTGAAGCGCATCCAGGCTTGGTTTCGAAGGCGCGCAGAGCGGTGCAAGGCTGAGGCTCTTGCTCATGGTGAGGCCGTTGCGCAGAAACAGCAAGAGCTCTCGCTACATAATGACATAGAGCAGTTTGCGAATGGTGGCCTTCCTCAAGCTTTTCAGGAGCGCGTGCAAACCAGAGCTTACTACTCTTTTCTCAACGGCTGTCTAGATGAACAGAGCAATTATTTCAATGCCTTGAAGGTTGAGCTGGAGCTTGCATATACAGCCAGCCGGTCAGAACGGGACCTCGCTGTACTCGGTGCATAGTCAGGGGCGTGGTTTCCCGGCCGCACCCGCTCCAGAGCATTTTCGTTGCTGCTCAGTTGATGTCCCAGAGCATGTGACCACATTTCCAAAAGTCGGGGGCCTGGATCAGTATAGTGCTGTACTGTAGTGGCCTCCGGCCAGTGCCGCCGATCTGGGGCGCTCCCGATGGTGCTCGGCTTCGCTTGGAGGCCGATGGGGCCGTCGTGGGGCCTCTCAGAGCCGTCGCAGGAGGAGGCCTCTTGACGGGATCTTGGAGCCTCCTGGGGGTTGCTTGGAAGCCTGTTTGGTTGTCTGAGGGCGTCTTGGTCGCCTCGCTGGGCCGTCTGGGAGCCCTCTGAGGGCGCTTCAGGGCCGTATTGGAAGTAGCCGTCTTGGATGCCTATGGGGCCGTCTTGGGACCTTCTTGAGGCCGTCTTAGTCGCCTCATGGACCGTCATGGGGCCATCTCGGTGGTCTCTGGGGCGATCTTGGGGGCCTCTGGGGCCGCCTTCTGGCCTCTGGGGCGGTCTTGGTCGGAAGGCGGAACAGATTGGGCCTCTTCGGGCCTTCCTGGAGGACCCCTTGAAGGGCTCTGGGGCCGTCGTTGGGGCGCTCTTGGGCCATCTTGAGGGCATCCTGGGCCACCTTGGGTGCACTGGAGCCGTCTGGGGAATATCTGGTAGTCATCTTGGGCTCTGTGGCCTCCGGGAGCGGGGTGGGAAATGGGAATCCAAGCCCCGCTCAGAAAGCGGAGCTCAGGCGGAACGGGGGGACCCTTTCCCGGCAGAGCCCCCCCGGCCCCCCCCCCCCAGCAGAGCTATAGTTCAGACTGCAGGTTGTAGCTTGTTAGGCTTTTGACAGCTCGCACGCCATATCGGCGGATTTCGCCCCAGACATCCTTTTCCATCGACGGCGGTGGATACTGATACGCCTAGGAGAGCCGAGGAAATTATGAACAAAACGCCGGCGCCGTTGCGAGAGGGTGGCCAGGCAAAAGAGGTTAAGGGATGGTCGAGGATTTGTGGTTCCTGGTCTTCTGGTGTACTCCTTCTGTCTACTCTCCATGGGCTCTTTCTGGGTGCGCAGCAGAGGTTGCCTCATGGCTCTTTTGGTGTACCCCTGTTCTTCTGTCCCCGACTGGTCCCGGGTACACCACGATTGTGGTCGCCCAGTGCCGCGCCAGACGACTTCTCGGCTCGCCTGGGGGCCGCGCTCTGGCGGGTTGTCGCCCCCCCTCTGCCGGCGCCTGGCGTCTGCGTTTCCGGGGGCCTTGCTGTCGACCACGGGAGGCACAAGTTTTTGTGCCTTGTGGTGAGCTACCGCTGAAAGCAAAACGGGCGTGGGAGAGGTAGTGTCTTAAGTAGGGGCGATCCCTCTACAGGAGGAACATTCAAACATAGTCCAGCAATAGTCTGGGGACGAATGAATTTTTTACTATGTTTGTACATGTTTGAATCGTTTCCCTGTTTCGTTCAAAATCCGACTGTAGGGGGACATGCCCGACCTAAGTGATGTCGCGGTATGTTTGCCGATGCATGTTTTTGGGGTGGGGGGTGGGATTGGGTGGATGGTGAGGCTGGGGGATGATCGAAGAGGGAAACTCTACTTAAACATCAACTTTTGGCGCTCCGCGCGAATTTCTTGGATCCGCGCTGGGCCCCCCTCCGGCGCCGCCTCCAGCGCCGCCCTTGGCGCGCCCCGCGCGCCAGGGAGGTGGGTCCAGCGCGGATCCAAGAAATCCGGGCGAAGCGCCAAAAGTTTATGTTTATGCCGCTTTCTCCTCTTCTAGATGAGAGAGGGTGGATGGGGGTGTGAAGGTGGCGGGTGGGCGGGTGGTGATGTGTGCGAAGGTTGGGGTGGGGTGTGAAGGGTGTGCGTGTGGTGGGAGGGTGGGGGACGGAGTATGGGGGATGGGGGGTGTTTTGGTGGATCGGATGGTGAGAGGGACGAGCGGGGAGGGAATGGGGGACGATGTGGTGGTGGTCCACAGTGTGTGTGGTCATGGGGGGAGGGAGAGGGATGGGGAGGTGGGGGTCGAGGGTGAAGGGTTGTTTTGGAACCTCGGGTCGCGTGCCTCACCGAAAGTCGACATGGGAAAATGTTTGAGCGGGCAGTTGGTGCGGTCCTCTCGGATCATTACGGATTCGTCAGAAAACCGAAGCTAGCCTTGTAGTGGTTGTGGTCGATGTGGGCGTCCCAAACGGCCAAACCGACCACAGCCACAGTTCAAGTGTTCTGTCGAGGTCGCTGATTTCTCCGCCGAGGGGCCCTCCGGAAAACTCCACTGTGTTGTGGCTGTGGCTCTTTGCTGTGCCTGGAGGGGAGGAAAGGAAGAGGACGGCGTGCCACAGGAGGCCATCCGCTCCAGCCCCCCGCGCGGCAGGTTGCGGTGCAGGGGCCAGAGTTGCAGTTCCGCGGCTCGCGGCGGGGGGGCGGGGGAACGGGAGGCGAGTCCGTCTCCTATCCTTGGCTCCCTCACCTCCGCCCCTCAATGGAAGAAAAACTGCCGATGCTTCCCTCGTTTTCCCTTTTGGGGGGGGCTCAGGGGAGGCCCTCGTCGCCACTGCTGGATTCGCCTCGACATTCTGCTCAGCAGCGCCCTGGGAGAGGTCCGGGTAGTAGCGGTATCGTTGACTGTTGGTTTCCCCAGTCCCTCTCCACCCCTGGGCCGCAGCCCGTCTGTGCCAGACGGCGACGGCGCCAGCTCACTCTGTGGTGAGCAGAACCGGCCCGGCGGCGGCCGAGCACCGTCACCATCCCGCCTTGTGAGCGTTTCTTATGCATATTTTTGCCGATCGGCGCGGGCCCCCGCACCCCCCGCCTCCCCCCCCCTGGAGTAGATCTTGGCTGTTGTTTGGCGCCTGTTTCGAGCAGGGGGAGCCTCCCCTCAGAGGCCGCAGTGTTGCAGACAGCCGCGCTAAGCAGAGGTCCGGAGCCAGACCCCCCCCTTCCGCCCAATGCCGAAACGCCGAGTAGAAAACGCTCACCTTGTGGTCTGGAGGGCTTGAGGGCCACTGGCGTGGTTGCTCGGCGGAGCAGGCACGAGCGCGGCGGACGCTTCGGCCGCCTGCCTTCGCTTCCTATTTCCTTCTCTGCCGGACGTTGTGCTTTGCCAGACGTGGCCAAAAACGTTCGTCCCTCCCCCCCATCATCGGTTCTCCGTCATCCTCTCCCTATGCTTCTGTTGTTCCAACCTGCCTTAGCCTTGATCACCAGAACGAGTTTCGAGCACCAAGAAGGTGCCGTAGCTTGAGGGTTCTCACGTGTCGGGATCTGGGAGGCGATACTCGTTCGACATTGTTTCGGCACTTTTGCTGGGAGCTCGAAATTCTTTCTGGGATGTGGTCCTTACGTACGATGGGAAGAGCATAACCCTATCATCGGTTCTCCGTCATCCTCTTCCTATGCCCACATCTGAAGCCGCAGCTGAAGACTCCAGGCAGGAGAAGGCAGACTGCCACATCTGCTAGCGGCCTCTGCCGAGGCACAGTGGAGCATCAGATGTGTTTGGAATGACATTATAAAACCAGGCGGGGGGCTGAGGAACAAATCCTGCTCCCTACGCCTACCTCACCTCCCCTCTTCTCCTCTGCTTTCTCTTCCACACGCCACCATCCTCCCCTCATTTTCCTCTCCGCGCATCTCATTCCTCCCCTCTCAGTTCCCTCCTCTGTTGCGCCAGCCTCAGCATTTTTGTTGATAGAATGAGGGCTTGCGCGACTCGTTTGTGGAGGCCTTTTGTAGGGGACATTGCGCTTTGTGCGGGGCTCTTGTCAATGCCCTTGGGATTGGATCCGCGAGAGCGTGCTTATTCGGAAGAAGGAAGGCGCATAATATGCAGCACGATGGATACGGATCCGTTGCGCAAGACCCCTGGTGCGCGTTGTGCGCTGGCACTGTTCGCTCCGGCACTCTTCCCATTTAAGTGTCATTTCCTGCCTCCATCACTTTTGTTTTGATGTTGTGCCGCCTTGCTCCTGAATATCCCTTATGGTCCTCCTCCTTCTCACCACTCTCCTCGGTTAGCACGTGAGGAGGGGAATTGAAACGGGGGGATGCAACAACCGCTGCGTGCAGCTGGTTCCGTCCCCGCCGCCAGGCGCTTTCCTCGATACACGGTCGCACTCGGCGCCAGGAGGAGCCGGGACAACCAGCTAGTAGAGGTGTCCATGGTGAGGTACCTACATCCACCATCCATGACGACCACGAACACCAGTTTGTTGAAAAATGTGATGGCCCCGGCAGGGCGGCACCACCAATCTTGTCGCCCAGGATACGATGACCAGGATCATGATTGGACCCAATGTGTTTGGCAGGAAGGGGGGATGATGGCGACATACACCTTTATCGTGGACATGGTGAAGGCGAATTGACAAGGATTTCGATATTGCGTCTGCGTCCTGACCGCACCTCCCGAACAGGTGGTAGGGTTACAGATGCAGCTGAAGCCCCGGCCCTGTGCGCTCGACTGTGGCCGTCCGTGCAATCATCGAGGAGACGCGAGCTCATGTGTTACAGGAATTCCCCCGAGAAATCGCTTCTGGTGTCCTTCTGCTTGGACGACGGCGGGATTGGTGTGGCTTCCCGAGCTGTGCGCCGCTTCTGCGAGCTTGCCGGGAGCTCTCTGGCTGACATTGGTTGGATCCTCAACAGAGCACATTGCGAAATTGTCCCTGCAGTAGCGGGGCGGCACAGCGTCCCGCCAGCTTTGTTTGAAGGCTTCAATATCAATGAGTTCGGGTACTTCAAACTGATCGGGGCGTCGTTCGGATCAGCAGCATTTTGCGAAAACCATATTGTACGTAGAAGAGGGCACGCAAGGCGGGCGGGGGTGCTTCTGCGCGAGGTGTCAAATTTGCAAGACGCGCAGGCGGCGCTCTATCCCATCCGCCCACGCGCCTCGCACGCTAAGCTCGTACACTTAATGCGGACGGTGCCGCCAGTTCGCGGCGAACCAGCGGACGGCCCTCAAGGAAGTCCTCGGCGCCGAGACTGGAGACCGCGAGTGGAGGCAAGCCACGCTCGGAATCAAGCGGGGTGGCCCCGGCCTCAGAAGGGGCCGACGACAACGCAGATGGTGCGTACCTGGCATCTCTGCACACCACGGGGGAGACATGCGTGTCCATTGGCGGTGGTTTCGGCCCTGATGACACAGCTGGCCACTTGCATCGGAACGCAGCGAGGCGAGCGCACGCGGGCCGCATTCAGCCTGAGGTTGTTGCTCCTGTTGGGCAAACTCGAAAGGCAGTGCCGGCATCGGCGGATGCTAGGCGGGAGCAGAACCCGAGGCGCGACAGCTCCGCCGACGCTTTTTACGTGGCCCACTTGTCCCTCCAGCAGCTATGAGGCGATGGGGCGTGGCTGACGGCACCGCCAGCGGACGCCGCGCGAACCGTCGAGCCCGCTCTGTTCAAGATGGCTCTGAGGCGCAAGCTGCAGTCCGCGTGCAGGATGCCGGTTCTGTTCTGCCCCATGTGCGGCGGCACCGTGGACAGCTACGGCGACCGTGCCTTCGTGTGCTCATGCTCTGGAAACCGCGTGGTCCGCCACAATCGCGTGCGGGATTCGGCGTGCGAGGACGCAGCGAGGGGGCATATGGGCCCAAAGAAGGAAGCGCCCAGCGTGCTCCAGGAACGCCCGCGGGACGACCGCGCGCCCCCCAGCGGTGGCGGAGGGGAGGCCCCAGGCCTTGCAGCAAGGTCCCGGAGACGCCCTGTCGATGTTTTCTTCCTTGGAGCTCTGGGCGGGGCACCTGCTGCCCCGGACTTCGCTTGCGCGTCGGGTCTGCGCGCCGACGTGATGCGAGACGCTGCGGCGAACCCAGACTGTGTCCTGAGCGCGTACGAGGAGGCGCCTGGAGAGACCGTCGCGTCAGAGGAACAGCGCACGGGCGCAGGTCTTTCTGGTCATCGAGTCGCACAGCGGCGGCTGGGGGAAGACAGCGCGGCAGATATTGGACGCGATGGCTCGGCGTGTGAGCGCCTGCTGGCGCGTGGAGGCGGAGGCGGAGGTGGAGAGCTTGCGAATAGCTTAGCGATTGCCACCTTTCTTTCGTAGGGAAAACGCCTGCAGGATCCCGCCCCGGGCGAGGAGGCACGTGCCGCCGCTCTGGCAGAGACCTTTTTTTTCTCCGCCTCTTCCTCGTCCTCCTCCCTTCCCCCCTGGCGTGTCAGGGCGCCGTTAAAGGTTGCTTCTGCGAGTGCGCTAAATCGGGACTGTCCGGACCAGGTGGAGGGGAGCGAACAGCTTGCCGAATGGCGGTTTTGGTACGCTATTTATTCTTTTGGCTTTGGGTGCTTTCGGCGCGCCCAAAAACAGGCAGAGGGGAACGTTCCCTTTAAAATTTTTGCACTGTGCGGAAGTTTTCCCCCTCTTGTTTTGGCGCGCTAGCGACGCGTCCTGTGGTGGTTCCCCGCTCGTTCGCGGCCGGGTCGCGTTCCAGACGGCTAGCGCTGAGGTCTGGGCAGGGCGATGGGCGACGAGAAGCCGAAGGGTCCCCGTCGTGATACAGCTAGAACGTTCGCGTCCTTCCTCCAACAGCGTCCCCGCAGACTGCTCGCAGGTGTCTGAGAAGGGTTGGATGTTCCGCCGCGGTGCGTCAGGGCTGTCAACGAGAGAGGACATCCCACCACTAGGGTGCCAATCGCTGCGATGAGTGGTCCATGGGTATCGGTTGTCCACGAAGCGCTTTTTTCATAAGAGAGCGACGACACCAACGGGGTTGTGCGCCGGCGTTGGCGCGCGAGGTTCCCGCGTAAGGTCGCGCGTGAGCGGCGTCGCGTCATGCGTGGCTGACGTGCGGGCGGCCCGCGGAAGGCCGCTGTGCCATCTCGCCTACGTTCCTCTTCTGATGGTTGATCAAGAGAGGTTTCACGCTCGGTCGGTGACCTTCCGCCGCTGTGTCTTTCCTTTGGCCTTCGCTCGTTCGCCTTTGTATGCCCCCTTTGTTCGGTCCCGCGGCTGCCCCTGGGAGCAGGCGCGGGACCCCAACCAACCTCCAAAACAGTTCTCCTGGTGTCGGACCCAACCATACGCAGTTGTGAACACCGCCGTTGTAGGAAAGAACGCTTTCGGTGGGGTTCATTACGGGACCACGAAACGCGTGAAGGGAACGCCGAAGTGAGGCGTGGCCGCCATGCGGGCGCTGCCGCTGGGGCCGCCTGCAAGGGACGCGGAGGTCATACTGAACGGGCTACATGCTGATGCCACTTTTTTGAGGCTGACAGGCACCAGGGAAAAAAAACAGAAGACGACACGCGGGCGCGGCATGTGAACGCAGCCGGTGGGGCCTTCGGTGGAGTTCCCTTTTATGGGACCACGAGGGGTGCGAGGGGTGCGCCAACGTGGGAAGGGGGCGGCGGCATGCGAACGCAGCCGCTTGGGCCTTCGGTGGAGCCCACCACGGGCCCACGAAGTGCGTGGGGGTGTGCCAAAGTGGAGGGGGTGGGGCCTGCGAGCGCAGCCACTGGGGCCTTAAGTTGAGCTCCCTATTGGGCCACGAAGCGTGTGAGAGGTGTGCCAAAGTGAAAGGGGGGGACATTCGAACGCAGCCGCTTGGGCCTTCGCTGGGGCTCCCCCGTGGGGATGTACCAAAGTGGTGGGGGGGGCGGCATGCGAACGCAGCCAGTGGGGCCGTCGGTGGGGCTGCCTATGTAGCCATGAAACGTGTGAAGGGTGGTTCAGAGTGAGAGGGTGGGCGGCATGCGACGCAGTCCCTGGGGCTTTCGGTGGAACTCCCTATAGGTTACGAAGTGTGTCACGGGTGTGCCAAAAGTGAGGGGGGGTGGCGGCATGCGAACGCAACCACGGGGGTCTTAGGAGCTTTCCATGGGTCCGCGAAACTTGTGTGCCAACGTGAAGTGGGCGACGGGACGACGGCAGAGGAAGAGGAGGAGGAGGAGGAGGAATACAAGGAATAACCTGGAAATGATGATGTTGGTGGTGATGATGAGGTTGTTGTTGATGATGGTGCAGCTGATCATGCTGATGATGGTGGTGATGGTGATGAGATTGATGATGATGATGCGGATGAGGATGATGATGACGATGATGATGATTATGATGGTGATGATGATGATGCTGATGCTGATGATGATGATGATGATGATGATGATGATGATGATGATGATGCTGATGCTGATGATGATGATGATGATGATGATGATGATGATGATGATGATGATGCTGATGATGATGATGATGATGATGATGATGATGATGATGATGATGATGATGATGATGATGATGATGATGGGGATGGTGATGGGGAGGAGTAGGAGAAAGCGGAGAAGGAGGAACATAAGGAAGAAGAGGAGAGGGGAGAGGAGTGGACGCGGGGATTGTCTCTTCAAAACGAGGACCCAACACAGTATGGTTGGGAACAAAAGGTGCCTTTCTCTTAGGGCGCGAACACATGTTGAAATGATTGGTTCCCGCCATCGAGGGTGCCTGCTCCAGGGCAATTGAACATTTTATACCCCAGCGGTTGCAGGTGAGGTGTCAATTTCCCATTCGCCCTGGGACTTGCCCCCCCCCCCCACGGCGGAAACGTTTATATTTCATACAGTTCCTCGCCCGCTAATTTCGGCGGCGAGCGAGGGGGGGAAGTGAGAAGGGGTGGGCCTTCTCAGAAGGCTCTGACGTCCCCGAGCCGTCCGAGAAACTTTCTGGATCTTCCCCAGAGACACGGAAAGCTGTTCAGAATGCGCGAGAGTTTTTGAGGAGCCCAGCCGCGTTCTGAGTACACTTTCTCCTTTGACTTCCCCCCCCCTCGCTTGCCGACGGAAAAATAGATCCATGCCAAGGACCCAGCCATATGTAGTTGTGAGTACTGCCGTTGTGAACAACGCCTTCAGTGGAGCTCACTACGGGGCCACGAGACGCGTGAAGGGAGCACCAACATGATGCGGGGCCGCCTTGCGGGCGTTGCCGCTGGGGCCGCCCACGGGGGGCGCGGAGGTCAAACGGGACGGGCTACATGTTGATGTAACCCTTTTATGGCTGACAGGCACTGGGAGAAGCGGGAGAAGACATGCGGGCCCAGCATGGGAACGCAGCCATTGGGGCCTTCGGTGGAGCTCCCGAAGGGTGTGCCGAAGTGAGGGGTGCGGCGGCATGCGAACGCAGCCACTGGGGCCTTCGGTGGAGCTCGCCCTCAGGGGCCACGAATCGTGTGAGGGTGTGCCAAAGTGAGGGGGGTGACGGGAGGAGGGAGAAGCGGGAGGAGGAGGAGAGGAGGGGAGGAGTGGACGCAGGGACTGGCTCTTCAAAACGAGGACCCAGCACCACAGGATGTTTGGGAAAAAAGACGTGACGTTTCGAGGACATGTATAGAATACGCTTTTCCCGCCATTAGGGGCGCCTGTCCCAGGGCGGCTCAGGGGGGGGGGGGTAGCAGCTTCCCAGTCGCCCTGGGACTCGCCCTCCCCCCCCCGACCCGACGGCGGCAGCGGATACTCCATACCGCATGCCGCTCGTCGCCCGCTCACTTCGGCGGCGAGCGAGCGAGGGGGGAGGGGGGGGAAGTGAGCAGGTGCCGTTCCGCAAGTGAGCAGCAGCAGCAGCAGCAGGGGGCCACATGCGAACCCTACCCCTACTCCCCAAGATTTCTGAGGGGGAGGGTGGGGTTCACTTCGTTCGGGAGCTCCCGAGCGAAGTGAACCCCACCCTCTCCCTCAGAAATCGCGGGGGGTAGGGGCAGGGTTCGCATGTGGCCCCCTAAGCAAGGAGAGCGGGGCAGAGCGCACGGCAGAGGGCCGCAGAGGCGCGGGGGGGGGGGCGCTCGGCAGGCTCGCCGCGGACGGCGGCGGCCGCAGCAGGCCCGTCCGCTCCCGCAGCCTGCGCGCGGCGGGCGCGCCCCGCGCGCCCGCTGCTCCCCCTCGGCGGCGAGCGAGGGGGGCCGGAGGCCCCAAGGCCGTCTCCAGGAATCTCGGTTCTTCTGGGACAATCCTACCGAGAAGCACAGCGAATTCGAAGCTTGAGACTCTGGCGAGCTTCTGGAGATCCGCGAAGCTGCCCCGTGCAGCAGCAGCAGCAGTGCGAAGTGGAGTCTAACGGCAGGGCCGCGTGCGGAAGAAGGTTCAGGCAGGCCCTCGAAGGAGAAGGCCTTCTCAGATGGCTCTGCAGTTCCCGGGCCCCCCCGAAGACACAGCCCCGCCGCCTTTGAGGAGGTCCTTCTCCTTCTCACTCCCCTCTTCCGCTCCCCGCAGAGCTGTTCCCTCCCCGTGGCCGGGTCTGGCGGGCCAGCCGTCCCTTCGAGCTGCGAGATCAGAGGAGGAAGAGGAGGAAGAGGTGCCCATACTGTTACTCTTCGCTCGTGTTCGTCTTCTTGGGCTTCCTGGGAGGCCCTCGTCGCAATCGCCGGATTCGCCTCGAAATCATGGTCAGAACGCACCCTGGGGAAGCTGGTCCCGAGGGAACCGGGCCCTGAGGGTTTTCATCGTTTCCCAGCCCTCGGGCCCCCAGGACCGTCAGGAAACGACTCTCGGGGGCGGCAAAGAGGGGGGTGATGACTAGGGGGGGGTGGATATCATGGCGGGGGCCATGATGTTTCCCCAGATTTCATGCCGCCTCGTCTTATTTCGTTACGTCCCTGGCCTCCCCGCTGGGCCGCGCACATGCCGCCGGTCATGATTTGCACCCCCCCCTCTTGCACACCCCCCTCTTGGCCGCTCCCGAGACTGAGGATGAAGAGTTTGTTCCTGGGAGAAGGGCCACGGGTCCAGACCCGCTTTCCTCAGGACTCCTCCTCCTCCTCTTCCTCCTCCTCCTCGTCGCCCTCCGCCCCCTCCTCCTCATCCTCCTCCTCCTCCTCCTCCTCCTCCTCCTCCCTGTTTCCCCCATGCCAGTGGGTCACCCAGAGCGCCGAATCTCCCAGGATCCTGCAAGGCCAGGGGTGCACTTACCCGGGTCAGCGCGCGAGAGCCTGCGGGATCCTGCAGGATCTTGCGCGCCGGCGTCCTCGATCGGCGGCGACCGCAGGAGGAAGTGTCGAGGAGAAGGCCTTCTCAGGAGGTGGCGGGGCTTCTCAGAAGC